TGTATTCATTTTTCTAGTAGACTTAGGTTTTTATGCAGTTTCAGGTTCACAGCAGTATCGAGCAGAAGATACAGAGATTTTCCATAGACCCTCCTCCACACCTGCAAACCCTCCCCCATCATCAACATCCCCCACCAGAGCGGCACCTTTGTTACCGTCGGTGAAGCTACGCCGACACATCACGGACCCCCCTCAGAATCCATTGTTTACGACAGGGTTTGCTTCCGGTGGTGTACATTCTGTGGGTCTGGACAAATGACATAATGACGTGTGTCCCCTGTTGCGGTGTCATTCACAGACGTTTCACTCCCTACAAATCCTCCGTGCTCTGCTTATTCATCCCTCCCGCTCCCCCAACCCCTGCCACCCACTGATCTTTTTACTTTCTCCAGGGTTTTGCCTTCCTTAGAATGTCCTGTCATTGGGATCGCACAGTGCGTAAGCTCTTCTTATGCCTTTTTTGACTTTTTTTTCATATGCATTTGAAAAAACCCTGCAGCGGCTCCCTATTGCCCACTTAGTCATATGCATTTAAGTTTCCTTTCTGCCTTTTCTGTGGCATCATTTTTCCCCTGTATTGTTTGAGCACCTGCCTGCGTGCCAGGCACATCCTGGGCACTGGGCAATGGGGTAGGCCACATGGACATGGCCCCTGCTTTCCAGAACTAGTTTAGCAGGGAGAGATGCACTCATAAGTACATACATGACCCTAGGGACCAGCGTGCTAAAAGAACAAGGGACCCTGAGTTGGAATGGGGAGGGGTCGAGAAAGCCTCTCTTAGGAAGGACATTTAAACCAGGACCCGAGGGACGAGCCAACATGGGGATCGACAGTGTCACCAGCAGCTATGTGGCTCTCAGAATCCTGCTTCCCTTGAGACGAGCCTCTTCTAGGAAGCCCGACCTGCTAACTCCTTCTTGACATGCATTGGTGCCCACAGCAGAGGTCCGTAACTTTTTCTTTTATGCACCAGTCACTTCCTGTGAGAACCTGCCCAAACCAGTGGACTGTTTCCCCAGGGACTCGAACAGGGGTAAGATCTGCGGTGTGTTGCTCTGAGCTCCGTGCTCCCAGTTGGCACAAAGGAAAGTCCACAGGGAGTTAAGCTTGCTGAGTTGAGCAGGGAGGGAGGTCAGGATGTTGCCTATCTGACTTGTGTGTTGGGGCTTTGAACTGCCGTGAAGATGGCTGTGCTGCTTGAGCCAAAGTTCACTCGGCTGGTTTCCAGCGGCTGCTCCTATACAAAAGCCAGGGATCTGTGTGGTTGCTTCTCGTCCAGAGCCTGAAAGCCCTAGGGCTTAGAGGAGATTCACGAGTAGCCTTCAACCTCCTGGGGCTGCTGGAGGGTGGGGAGGTGGACTGCTGTTGGGGAGAGCTGCAGCCTCCCATCGGCTGCTGCTACCAGCTCTCTGGCCGTAACTCGGGGGTTGGCTGGCCAGGAGATCACAACGCCTGACCACTCTGCCCCTGTGGGTGCTCTGCTCTAAATCCTGCAGTGGCTCCCTATTGCCCTCAGGACAGGCCAGATGTCTTAGCAGGGCATACAAGCTGGGACCCTGCCCACCCACCCAGCATGCTTTGTCCAGGCCTGCCCCTCTGTCTGCTTGTTCCAAACACTCAGGTGTACCACCTGTGTGGCTTGGCAGGTGCGGTTTTTCCTGCTGAGCATTCCTTTCAGCAGGCTTCAATAGGTCAAGCCCTGGACGTCCTTCCAAAGCTTGGCTGCATTGATCTCTTTTCCCTGAAGGCCCCATGGACCTGCTCCTCTCTTCAGATCATGCCTTCCCCCCGAGGTCCCAGGACACTCTGTTCTTGCCAAGGCCCGAAGAGTCCTCCTCTCCACACTTCCTCTCCCCCTCCCTCCTTCCATTTCTTCATCGATTAGTGTTCTGGCAGCTGACTGTGTTTTAGTCACACAGGGGTGATGGGAAAATAAGGATGAGACCCTGCCCTCCAAGTGTTGGAAGTCCCATGGTTGCCAGATAAATTAATTCATCAAATAATGCAGAGAAGGATGAAAAATACACAAAGAATTCACTCCACAGAGTGGGAGAAATGTTTGGAAATCATATGTCAAGAAGTCTTACTGGGGGAAAAGCTCTTCTCCGCCATTACAGAATAAATAAAAGGTTGGGGCGGGGGGAGGGTACACCGCAAGACCTCCAGACTCAGATCTTTTGCAGGTGGAGTAAAGCCGGCTGGGGTGTTGTTACAGGACTGTTTCAAACGCAAGTTTCTTCCTGCGTAAACAAATAGAAGAAAGGAACTAATACATTCAGGCTTGGAGCACTTTCCCTGGCAAAAGTAGCAAAGTCCTGGGCTTCCTGAGAGCTGTGTCCTGGCCACAGGCTCTCCGGGGAAGCAGCCAGGAGAGGAGATTCCAGCATGAAACCGCAGTCCCCTTCCCTTTCGTGGGAACGTCTCCCTTTCAGCTTCCTCCAGGAAGACCGGGCAGTGGTGGGGTGAGGGCTCGTGCTGTGGCCATAGATTTCCTTCCTCGTGTTGATCGGTTTGGAATTCTGTGCTTGTCTTGTTACCTGATCACCATCGCTCCCACTGGGCTGTGAACTCCTTGCGAGAGGGCGACGTGTCCATTTTACTTTTCCTAACAGCTTTATTGATCTTTATAATTCATGTACCATAAAATTCACTCTTTTAAAGTGTCCAGTTCGATGACTTTTCGTATATGTAGAGTTGTGAAAAATCAACACTATCTAATTTCAGAAATTTTCATAATCCCCAAAGAAAACTTCCATATCCTTTAGTAGTTAATCTCCCCCTTCCGTTGACCTCCATGCCTAGCCCTCAGTGACCACTAATCTGCTTTCTGTCTGTGTGGATTTGCCTGTGCCATACATTTCCTGTATGTGGAATCATGCAGTACGTGGCCTTTTATTTTTTTTTATTTTTTAAATATTTTATTTATTTATCTTTAGAGGGGAAAGGAAGGAGAGAGGGAGAGAAATATCAATGTATGGTTGCCTTTCATGCGTCCCCTGCTGGGAACTGTCCTGCAGGGAACCAGCCTGCAACCCCGGTATGTGCCCTGACTGGGAATCGAACCGCGATTGTCTGGTTCACAGGCCCGCGCTCAATCCACTGAGCTGTACCAGCCAGGGCAGTACGTGGCCTTTTATAACTGGCTTTTTTTCCCCACTTACCATCATGTATCAGTACTTATTTCATTTTGGGGGCCTAATAACCTTCCATTGTATGGGTATGGTATATTTTGTTTATCCATTCATCGCTGGATGGGCATTTGGGTTACTTCCATTTCACTGTTACTCCCGAAATGCGGCTGTGAGTGTGCATAGCCGTGGTTTTGTGTGGACACATGTGTTCCTCTTTCTTGGGTGTGCACCAAGGACCCGAATTTCTGGGTCTGGGGGGAGTCTCACATTTTGACACATGGTTTCCCACAGTGGCTGCACCGTGTTGCTTTCCCAGCAACAGAATGAGGGTCCCAGTTTCTCACATCCTCAGTGAGAGTGTCTGTGTTTTTCTGACAGTCACCCTAATGCGCGTGCGATGGATCTCACTGTGGTTTCAAGCTGCCTTTTCCCCATGATTGAGCATCTTTTCATGTGCTTATTGGCCATTTCTGTGTATTTGGGGAAATATCTCTTCAGTCCTTTGCCCGATTTTAAGTTAGATTGTTTATCTTTATTATTGAATTGTAAGAGTTCTTTATATATTCTGGTCTCTTTTTTTTTTTTTTCCAAATTTTTTATTTATTTATTTATCTTTAGAGGGGAAGGGAAGGAGAGAGGAGGAGAAACATCAATGTGTGGTTGCTTTTCATGCGTCCCCTGCTGGGAACTGGCCTGCGGGGAACTGGCCTGCAACCCAGGCATGTGCCCTGACTGGGAATCAAACCGCAATTGTCCAGTTTGCAGGCCCGCGCTCAATCCACTGAGCTATACCAGGCAGGGCTATTCTGGTCTCTTTACTGGTATATGACTTCCAACCATTCTCTCCCATTCCATCTTTCCACCTTCTCGACGGTGTCTTTGAAAGACTTTAATTTTGAAGTCCAACTTCGCTGTTTTGGTCTTTCGTTGCTTCTGCTTTTGATGACATAGCGAAGAAGTCATTGTCTAAAGTCATACAATTTTGCTTCTGTTTTCTTCCAAGGGTTTATAGTGTTAATCTTATATTCGGTTCTGTGCCTGTCTTATTCCACATTGTATTCCCAGTGCCTAGCAGTGTGGCCTGATGTACAGAAGGTACTTGAAACTTACTTAGTGAAGTGAATGAATTACTGTCTCTTGAACGAATGAATAAGTGAACAAATGAGTGAATGCACAGATATCTCCTGGTCCCAGAGCTTGTTGTTCATGCCTGGATAAAACTGCCAGCTCCTCCTTTCCTGTTTTTATTCATTTTTGCATCTCTTTGCTTTCCCTCTTTCCCAAAATGTTGCTAAGACATTTTCTAAATAAATGAATAACAACTAACAGCTTTTTTACACTGAATTTTTTGTAAGCTGCCTCTCAGGGTCCCAGCCGCAGAGGGAGTTAAGCCGTGGGCTGCGAGAGGGTACTGTGTGCTAGGTGCTTCATGTTCGTTTTTCATTTTATCCTCAGCTGCTGAGGAGGAAATGGGTGAAGGCGGGTGACCAGGGGCACCGCTTGGTTGAGTAGCAGAACCCGAATTTGGATGTGGGTCCCCTGTGTTCTGCTGTGGCCTGCGGGTCTCTGGTAGCCAGCCTCTCCCTGGGAATGGAGCCGATTGTCTCCTTCACCTGGCCCTGTCATTGTGAAGGTCCCCGGCACTTTCCGAGCCTGTGCTGGGTGAGAGTGGATGGGACCGGGCCCGGGAGTTCCTGGGATGAATGAAGGAGCTGTCATCCTGGGACTCGAAGAAAAGCAACAGGGTATGGAAGGAATCGGTGCCCCCTAAGCAACCAGCAGGCGGGCTCCCACCCCTCGATTTTCTGGGGCATCCGAGGCTCTCGAGAGGCAGTCCTGACCCGCCCCTTCTGCCCTGCCTTTTCCAGGAACTGAAGCTGCCAACCTTCCGAGCCCACTCGCCGCTCCTGAAGAGCCGCCGGTTCTTTGTGGACATCTTGACCCTGCTGAGCAGCCACTGCCAGCTCTGCCCCGCGGCCCGGCACCTGGCCGTCTACCTGCTGGACCACTTCCTGGATCGCTACAACATCACCAGCTCCAAGCAGCTGTACGCCGCCGCGGTCTCCTGCCTCCTGCTCGCAAGTACGTGGAACCCGCTTCCTCCCCTGGGCTGCCTCCTCCTCGGTGAGCCTGGGTGCTCCCAGATCTTGGAGTATCTCCATGGTTGGTGCACATCTTCTGTGTTCATCCTTAGCTGAGTGGGAACTAATATTATTAATAATAACCATCGACATTTTCTTTAGCATATGTAATGTACCAGGCTAAGCGAGAAGGGTAATTTTAGCCTCTTGATCTTAAGGAGTCCACACAGTGACCCCGGAGACAGACACTTTTAGTATCCCATTTTACCAAAGCACAGAGAGGTTAGGAAACTTGCCTTGGGTCACCCAGTTTGTATATAGCAGACAAGATTTGAGCCCCAAAGCGCAGTGCCAGAACCTTTGCCGTCAACCCTGTGTCACCTGCTTCCTGGTATGGGGGACCGGAACCTTAGCAACCGCTGCTCCCGGAGGTGTTCAGAAATGTGACTGCTTGGGGGGGGCCCAAGCTGGACCTGTTATGTAGTCAGCAGATAGTCGGCAGGCCCCCCCAGAACTTTGCCCATGCTGTTCCCTCTGCCCGAGCAGCTTCCTGTTCCCTCCTCCGGTTAATGTCACTCACGCTGGCACCCCCGAGAAAGCCTTGCCCCCCTGCCCTGGGCAAGTGAGGTCTCAGGGAACCATGTTTGTTTATTTGTTTGCTTGCTTATTATCTTCACCTGAGGACATGCTCATTGATTTTTAGAGAGAGGAGAGGGGAGGGAGAAAGAGGGAGAGAAACATCAATGTGTGAGAGAAACACTGAGTGGCTGCCTCTCCTACATGCCCTGACCAGTGACTGAACCTGCAGCCTAAGTATGTACCCCGACTGGGAATTGAACCCGTGACCTTTTGGTTTACGGGAGGACACTCTAACCACCTGAGCCACACTGGCCAGGGTGGCATTGCGCACCTTTAATCAACGCCCATCTCCCCACTAAGCAGTTGAGTTTCAGGGAGGAGGAGGCTGGTGCAGAGTAAGACCTCACGGTAATACTATTTATGGGATAAATGAAATGAATGGAGTGAGGGTTTCTTTGGACCTGGATGTCCACACTGCCCCAGGTCACCCTTAATGCAGTGGAGCGGGTACCCCAAGGTGGCCCAGCCATCGCGACATTTCCTTGACATCTGGTATTTTCTTCTTAAAATTTGATCAGATTTTACAGTCTCCACCACAATGTGTGACTGTCCTGTTTTGTGGTGTGGGCGGACTCCCCCACCCTTGAGTCCCACCGATGCCGAGAAGAGCAGTACCCGCCCCCTGTGGCTTTGTCTGCTTCTGGCACACGGCCCCGGGCTGCCACGAGCACTGTCACCCAGTTCCAGGAGCTTTAGGCTTTTCAGAATTCTGTGTTGTTCTCCACCCTGGCACCTTCCACCTGCCGTTATTTATAATCCCTTCGGCTGCTCTGGCTTCCCAGCCTCCCGGTTTGTGATTTTCTCTACCTTGAGCCAGCTTCATTTCCCGGGTGACCCAGAGGAGCCAGCCTGGCTGCGTCCACCCAGGTTGCTACTTCAAGTCCGAAAGCAACCTGCAGCTCTTTGGTCTTGGGAAGAGATGAGGGGCTTGCAAGCCGTCCTTGTCAGCGGGGGCAGAACGGGCATCGCATTTCAGGCGGCCCAGGAGGAGCTTGCGCTGTGGCCTTTGGCCCGCTGCTGGCTGTGATCTGCGGGCTGCATCGAGGCCCGCTGGGGGCAGGGGACTTAGATTTCTCCCCCAGCGTCTGTCTGGGGAGCTGGGATGTGAGGCGCACACTGGAGACTCCTTTGTGCTGCTGGGGCCGAGGCTGAGGGAGGGGGCCCTGCAGACAGAGAGGCAGACGCCCCCACCCACATGTCTGAGGGCAGCAGCCAGCCTCGGGCGGCGGGACGGGAGTTTTCAGGACACCTGCCATATGCTCAGAGGCCCAAGGAAAGAAAAGTTTCCATGACAGCCTGAAATCCTATTCATTCGTCCCTCCCCTCTCCCTGTTCGGACTGTCCGCTACGAGGGGGGTCACCTTGCCTCAGGACTTTGAAGTTCGGCTAATTCTATACCAGATAATTCCCAGATAAGAAGAGCCGCGGTTCTTCTTGCCCCACCTGTCAGTGCTTAGGTTTTGAGAGCTGCTTCCAGATAAGGGCCTTTGCACAGATGGAGCCTGTCTGCCTGTATACGGGCCCTTCTGCCCCCCATAAAAACGAGTCCGTCCTGGACCCGTGTCTGTAGGCCTGTGGAGGGAGGTGGGAACAGAACAGCTCATAGGTCTTTCCAAGGCGGACCAGTGGCAAAGCCATCCTGTCGTCTCCCTGTGACCAAGTTCGTCGTCTGGGTTTCCTGCTTAACACAGGACGGACTAAAAATAGTCTAGCTAAAAATATGCCATAAATTGAGGAGACCTCTCTTTTCATCTTTCATGTAGTACCCCAACCCCAACTGCCCTTTTGTTATTATTTCATTAAAAGAGTAACTGGAAAATACAGAAACCCCGCAACTTTCAGGGGAGTTGGCTTTCAGGTGAGTTGACTGGGACAGTGTGACATCAATATCCGTCATTCTGGCCAACGGCAGCTGTGTCGCTTCCCGGTCCTTTTCCCCCTACCCAGCCCTGTGCCAGTCACTTCACACGCACGTCACGTGGAACCTCCACAAGCAGCCTCTGTGGCCGTGCTGCCATCTGCTCGTTCCGCAGGTTCAGAGAGGTCAAATAACTTGCCCAGCGTCACACAGCTCAGGGTTTTATTTTTATCCCTTTTAATGAAGGTCAGACTCATACCACAACATAAAATTCACCATTTTAATCATTTTTAAGTGTACAGTTCTGTGGCTTTTTTTTTTAGTACAAGCGCAGTGTTGGCAGCCGCCACCTCTGTCTGGCCCCAACACATGCCCATCCCCCACAGAGGAGCCCTGGTACTCATTATCAGTCACCTCTCATTCCTCCCCACGCCCAGCCCCTGGCAAACACTAACCCCATTTCTGTCCACCCAGATTTGCCTGTTCTGGGTATTTCCTGTAAAAGGAATTCTGTAACATGCAGCCTTTTGTGCCTGGCTCCTTTCACTTGACGTTTTCAAGGTTGTCCGCACTGTAGCATGGACCAGTACTTCCCTCCCCCTGATGCCTGAGCGCTATTCCGTTTTATGGATGTACCTCCTCCGTTTATTCCTTTGTCTGTTGATACGCACTTGCGTCATTTTCACCCTTGGGCCACGGACAGTTAGGAACTGGTTTTGTCTGAACAGCTGTTTTCACTTCTTGGAGATATAAACCTAATCAAGGGCTGGTCAAATAAATGGTAATTCTATGTTGCACCTGCAGAGTAAACTTGGCGTTTTGCTTTTGCCTGGTTGTTGCTTTTGCCTGGGAGGTGACCGGGTGCCTTGAGTCCTTAGCCCAGGGCACGGAGCAGCAAGAGAACGGAGAGAGGAAGGAGAAAGCCAGAGGGCAAGAGTCGGAACCAGCAGCCTTGGTGCTAGGGTAGCATGACCTTGAACGGAAGACCTTCTTGTCTGTGGGGCACAGCCCAGTTAGAGCATCATCTGGACACCCTAAGGTGTGGGTTCAGTCCCTGGTCAGGGCGCGTACAACCGTCAACCAGTGAATGCAGAAATAAGTGGGACAACAAACTGATGTTTCCCTCTCTTTCTAAAATCAATAAACAGATCCTTGGGCGAGGGTTAACAAAATTTTTTTAAGTATGAGATACATTTTTATTGTAAAAATTCCAAAAGATGAAGAACCCACCTAGTGTACGTAAAAAATTAGTTCTCTCCCGAAACCATAGTCCCATCCCCACAGTTTGCAGTGTATTCTTCCATCCCGAGGTTTACTTGTATGTTTTCGTAATTGGGAAAATCTGTTTTCATTTCCGAGGCGGGGATAGCGGGATGAATCAGAGGGCCTGCCCCGTGAGCAGGAGCGCCAGATTCTCTTCCTTCCTCCCTTTCTCTTCTTTTTCTCTCCGTCTGTTGCCCATCCCAGTCTCCACAGGTAACTTCTGGGAGCAGCTGGTTCTTGTGTCTCGTTCCAGACTGGTCCAGTGCGTTTTCTAGAAATGTGCTGAGCATGTACAAACACACAGTCGATCCTCATGATTCCAAGATTCCGTACCTGTGAATTCGCCTGCTCGCTGAAATTTATTTTTAACCCCCAAATCGGTACTCGCAGAACTTCTGCGGCCATTCACGGACACGTGCAGAGCCCCCAAAGAGTGTGAGTTCTGCCTGCGTGTGCCCAGCTGAGACGGAGCGGGGCAGCGCCCTGCCTTCTCCTTCCTCTCAGCTCTCTCACTTAAAGCAAGTCCTTTTCTCAGTGTTTAGTGCCACGTTGTCTCACTTGTCTGCTCATAGGTGGTTTTGCTGTTTAAAAGCTGTCCAGGGGTCCTAAGCGTAAGACGGCCATGGTGTGCACCTTTTGGGGGAAAATTTGTATGTTAGACAAGCTTCATTGGGGCAGGAATTACAGTGCTCTTGGCTATGAGGTCCGTGATAATGAATCAACAAAATATTACATGGAAATACACAAAACAAGGTTATGCACCGATCAGTTGTGGTGACCCACCCTGTGTCTCCCCCAGGAATGTGGTTCATTGTTCACTAGCTCAGTGTTATAGTAACTTTGCTGGAATTATTTCGAACAACCAGAATCGACTGTATGTCACACAGCTGGGCTCACACCTAAGGTGCTTGCTTCGTAGTATATCAGGGGAGATCTTTCCCATCAGACTGTGCAGTTGTCTTCCTCTTATTGACAGCCGTGTTCCGTGATATACATACACACTGACCTCCCTGTCAATGGCTAGTTAGACTGACGTTCTTTTTTTTTTACTACTATACACAATATGACGACTGTCCTTTTCCCTGTATCTTTGCACACTGGAGTGAGTGTCTCAAAGATACATTCCCAGAGGTGTTGTTTGGGTCAAAGGGTATGTGCATTTAAAGTTTTGATAGCAAGTGCTAAATTACCTCGCAGAGGTTTCAGTAAAAGCAACCCTGATGAGGTCCCTTTTTCCCTTAAACTGAACTTAATTTGTGGGAGTCTTTGGAACCCTGCCTTCC